CCCCCCCCCCCCCCCCGCATGGGGAGAGAGGGTGGGGCCATCTCTCTGCTCCTGCTCTGGACCCTGCCTAGGGCTCGCTGAGGCACGCAGCTCCGGGGTTGTGGTCTGTGCCATGGGTTTGGGCGGGACAAGGCACGCTGCTGGGATGGGGTTCGCTGAGCCTGGAGTGTTGGGTTCCCAGGCTCTGGAGACTCCCCACCCCCATCGGAGACCCAAACCTGGGCTCCCGAGTCTCCCTCCAGGGCCCTGAGCCTCCCGCCTGGCTCCCTCCGGAAACCTGGCTGCCTCCTCATGCCCGACACGCATGTGGGTGTCGGCTCCCCACGGGTTCACCATCTCTCCTGCTGGGGGACGGGAACCTGTCCGGGAGCCAAAGGTTGTTTGTTCCATTTCAGCCTCAGGTTTCATCCACCTCCACCCCCACCTCTGCCCAGGGGCTTGGGGTGCAGGAGCCCAGGTTGGTTAAGCCGCCACAAACCTGTTTTCTGCATCTTGAGTTTATTTAAAGTGAGGCCAACCCACTGCCTTCTTGTCCCCCCGGCGCCCTGGCCACCAGGTAAGGCCGTTGCCCTGCTGGACCCACGGGCCTCCCAGAGCTTCGCTGTGGCTGCCGGCCTGACCACCCCTGGCCCAGGGCGCCAGCCCACTTGCTCCTCTCGGGCCTCCCCAGCCACCCCGTCTCCCACCTCGGCATTTGCTCAGCCTGGACCCTCTGCAGAGCCTAGACCAGTGGTTCTCAACCTTCCTAAAGCCGCGGCCCTTTAATGCAGTTCCTCATGTTGTGGGGACCCCCCACCATAAAATTACTTTCGTTGCTACTTCATAACTGTAATGTTGCTACTGTGATGAATCGTCATGTAAGTATCTGATATGCAGGGTGTATTTTCGTTGTTACAAATGGAACATAATGAAAGCATAGTGATGAATCACAAAAGCAATGTAATTATATATGTGTTTTCCATTGGTCTTAGCTGACCCCTGTGAAAGGGTCGTTCGACCCTCAAAGGGGTCGCGACTCACAGGTTGAGAACCGCTGGCCTAGACGCAGGCAGGCAGGATGGTTCTGTTGCTGGGGTGGGGCTGGGGGGGGGGCTGTGGTGTTGTCTGGCCTCAGGGCTGGCACAAGGCTGGACACAGCCGGGTGAGGCGAGCTGGAGGATCGGACACCTGAATGAGGAAGGGAAGCCGCCTCCCTGCAGGAGATAACGGGGAACCGGTGGCCAGGCTGCACAGGGTGTGTGTGTGGGGGGGCAGCAGGGGCAGATCCGGGCATGGGCTGAACCCCCACCCTCCTGCCCTTGCCAAGGAGAAGCCGAAGTCCAGTCCCAGAGCCAGTGTTTATTAACAAGATGGAACCCAGGGCACTGTGGCCGGGAGGCGAGGGCCTCCGGGAGCCCCGTCCGCCTGCCCAACTGCCCCCCAGAGCTATGTACACCCCTCATCTGAAGTGGGGGCAGGAGGGATCCCCGGGGAGCCCCTGCTGTCCCCAGGCCTCTGCCACAGCCCCCTCTGCCCGCAGCCCTGCTTGTGCCGGCCCCTCTGCTATTCGCCAGCCCAAGCCACTGGCACAGAACAGCCAAGAGGAGGGAGATGGCCAGGCAGTGAGGGCTGGACGGGCTGCCCCACCCACACAGGGCTCCTCTTCTCATCCCCAATAAATAGAGAATAAATACCTGGGCAGGGGCCGGCCTTGACCGAGTGCCCCCTCCCAGGCAGGGCCGTCCTGTGGTCCTGTGATGGCCCGCACACCTTCCCTCCCTCCGAGTGCGGCTGCCCCCTTCCCACCCCGTCCGCGAGCAGTCCTCCGTCCACGGCTATGCCGGCGGCTCAGGCACAGCGCACGCTGGCGAGGGTGTACAGTCCGTGCCTGTCCAGTGCCGCTCGCTCCCTCCGTGTCCCGTGGATCC